CGAATCCAGAACGATTCTGCGGCTCGCCGCTCACAGCCCTGGAAAGCCATGTTTAAACAAACGAAAAATAATAATAACAACAATAAATAAAATGAAGTAAAAAAAAAAAAAAGGGGAGGGCAGAGAAAAAGCCTCTTTTTGTGGCCCGTACGGGGATCGAACCCGCGACCTTGGCGTTATTAGCACCACGCTCTAACCAACTGAGCTAACCGGCCACTTGACGTTTGGGCGCCTCCGTCAAGTCTATGAGGTTTCTACGCCTGCGCGGGGCCGCCGGCGGACTTCGAGCCTTCAACTCTCTCTGCAACTGTCGTCATTCCCGCTGTCATCCCTATTGGCCAGAAGAAAACACAGAGCCTCTTTAAAGAGAATAAAGTGGCTCCTTACCACGAATCGAAGGTTTTCACGGGGGAATGCAAATTATACATGGGATGCTTGGCTCAGGAGTAGGATTTTCAAACACCGCAACTCAATGCTTTTTTTATGTATCTCGAGAATCCTTCCGGCGTGGAAACTTCGTGTATCGAGAGCTTTAGTGTGGCTAAATAAAGCTTAGAGAATGCAGAAAACCAGATAGAGAACAAAAGAACCACCGAATCCCCCACCGCCCCCAAACAACGGCAGCGTTGGTTGGTATCGTTCCTGACAATCCTTTTTCACTGCACAGGCTTATTTAAAAATATATATTTGGCATTCAGTTCGACCTTGTTAAAAAAGAATATGATCTTTTATCTTACTTTTTTGTACTTAATATTCTATCATTATCATACCCCTAAGCAATTGCAAATGTCATTTTTTAAATGTTTCCTTAGGTGGATAAGCCATTGTTTCCCCCCACACCCCCCCCCCCCCCCGCCCTTTTTTTGATGTCTGGCAAATGTCTTCATTTTGCCCTCTCTTGTTAACTAGCACATGATTAAATCATGAAGCAGTTGCTGTACCCACTCCAAAGGGTTAGTGTCTGAAAAAATAACTGTCCCCCGGGGGGCTTTTTGGTCTCTGAGTCCCTGACCTCCTGTGCTCTGGGAGTAGGAGAAGGGAGCCCCAGCTTTTCACATTGTCCCTCTGGTCTGATTACTCAAAAAAAAAAAAAAAGCGGATTATCATCAACGTCCCTTGTTGCAAACAGCAGAAGCCCAGTCTAGCTGATCTTAACAGAACAGATGTTATTAAAAGGAGGTGTTGAGTCAGGTTTAGTCAACACCTGCCTGGCAGTGCCCTAACCACAGGGAATCAGCTGTGAGCCAAGCAGACCTGATCCTGTCCTCACCAAGCCCACAGTTTAGCAAAGACAGGTGCTAAGTTAGTATGGGTGGAGACACTTAGGCATCGCGCTGAGTGTAGGTAAACAGTGCCAGGGGTGGAAGTTTGGGGCAGGTTTTTGAAGACTGGGAAACTTGACTGCATTCTGAAGGTCAAGGATGGGCAAGCATAGGCCCAAACAGGTAGAGCCCTCTGGGCAAAGTGAAGTGTCTGCAACCCTGTCCGTTTTGCTTGTCGCTGAATGTCCCGCGCCTAGCACACTCTCTGGGATAATAGGAGTGTAGTTAATAGGAGTCAGGGGCGCCTGGCTGGCTCAGTCAGGAGGGCATGTGACTCTTGATCTTGGGGTCATGAGCTTGAGCCCTGCATGGGGGGTAGATTATACTTAAATAATAATAATAAATAGGAGTCAGATGAATGAATGAGCTAATTGCAAAATCACATTTTAAAACATATCAGATCAAGTACTTTCTCTGTTCAAACCCTCCCCTCCTGGCCCAGCCCTGCTCGGGCTGCCAGATTTAGCAGCCCTAAATAATTTAGTGTATGTCCCAGACAATATGTAGTTGTTTATCTCCATAAACACCTTAAGTTCACCTTTAACTGCCCATCCTGTGCCTACGTGGCAACCCCACACGCAGAATAACACCCATCCGAAAGACCCCGGCCTAACCTGCTCCCCTTCCCGGTGCCCTCTGACACAGCCCCATCACCCTCCTTCCTGGATCTTGCTCACCAGGCCACCCTCCTGCCCTGGGGCTTCTACACTTCTGTTCCCTCTTCCTGGACCCTCTTCCCCCAGGCACTGCCGAGGCTCTCTCCCTCGTGTCCTCATGTCTATGCGTAAATGTCACATATTCAGCGAGGCTTCCCTGACCCCCCTGTTTAAAATCGCAACCCGCATTCAGAATTCCCTGCTTTTTTCTGCTTCATATTGCGTCCGGAGCTTTCTTAATTTCGTGACTGCAGGAGGGCAGCAACTTGTATTTTGCACCTGCAGCACCTAGAAGTGACTGGCACATAGCAGATGGTCGATCCAGGTTTGTCGAAGTTGACAGATCATCCCTTAGAGGTCTAGCCCTGACACAAGCCAGGCAGAATTGAGGGCTCGTTTCCTGAGTGGGCGGGCTCCAATCCCCCGGGGCAGAGGGAGCCGGCGTGCCCACGGTGGGGGAGACGCAGTGACTGAACGCAGACGGTAGGGGGCACCCGAGACCTAGGCGTCCGCTGAACACCTGGCCGCCAGCGCGCCTCCTACCCCGGGTGTGTGCGGACTCCTGGATTTCTCCTGCCAATTCGGACTCCATCTTACAGTTCCTGCAAGACAAACAGGTCCTAGTTTTCATTCTTTGAGTTAGGAAAATGCAGACTCATACATGACCAGCACCAGGTGATGCTGGGTTATTATTCAGGTTTTTCAGTGTCTGAGGGGTGCTTTTGTGCATGCACCTTGGATTTTAAATAGTCCATTTGCTTTAAACCCCACTGGTAAAATTCGTCATTCTGTTTATAAATTGGAAACTTCGGTATGAACATAAAGACATACTGTATTCGTTTCCCAGGGTTGCATCAATAAAACACAAACTGGGTGACTTAAGAGAAACTTATTCTCTCAAGTTCTGGAAGCCAGAAGTCCAAGACCAAGGTGTCCTCAGTGTTGGTTCCTTCCAAGGGCTCTGAGGAAGAATCTGTTCCGTGCCTCTCTCTGCTCTCTCTCCCAGCTTCTGGTGGTTTGTTAGCAATCTTCGGTGTTCTTTTGCTCGTGGAAGCCACACTCTGATCGTGGCCTCCATCACCACATTCGTGGATCTCAAGTTCCCGGAAGAGTGCCTGGTGCAAGGCAGGTGGTCAATTTGTTGAATTAATGTTAAATTCATTGTGTGCTAAGTTAATTCTGTTAGACCTTTTGATTCAGAAACATGCTCTTCCATTCTTTTTTTTAATGTTTATTATTTGAGAGAGAGAGAGAGAGAGAGAGAGAGAGAGAGAGACAGAGCACGAGTGGGGGAGGGGCAGAGAGGGAGGGAGACACAGAATCCGATGCAGGCTCCAGACTCCGAGCTGTCAGCACAGAGCCAGACACAGGGCTTGAACTCACAGACTGTGAGGTCATGACCTGAGCTGAAGTTGGCTGCCCAACCGACTGAGCCACCCAGGTGCCCCATGCCCTTCCATTCTTGGCAACATTTCAGAGGAAGAATGTTTCCAAGGGAGATTTGATAATCTCCTCTTACCTTTTTCTGGAACATCATTCTTCAGAGGTCAAAACTTCGGGGTTGAATCTCTAACTTTCTTCTCTTTTCTTTGGTCCAGGCCTAGGTCTATTGTCTATTTCCTGAACAATTTCCTTGAACTGTCTTCCAACTTTCTTCTTATATTTTTTATTTTGACTTGGAGCCCTGGAGCACACAGACAAGGACAGAGCAAAACACTTTGAATGTTGAAGCTGAATTCTTGCCAATCAATTCTGGAAAAAAAGAAAGAAAGCAAGCAGGGGCGGGGTGGGGAGGCAGGAATAAAATGCTTCATTGTACAATATGGACTATGTCAAAACTGTTAGACAACACAAAGGAAAAATAGACAAACATAAGGATTTTTCAGATGTTGCTTCTAATTTGCTACAACAAATTAGTTGGTTCCAGAGACTTTTTAAAAATGTCCTTTCTTAAAGCATGTACATTAATTGCAAAGCTTTAAAAAGGTCTCTTTTATGGGGCGCCTGGGTGGCGCAGTCGGTTAAGCGTCCGACTTCAGCCAGGTCACGATCTCGCGCTCCGTGAGTTCGAGCCCCGCGTCGGGCTCTGGGCTGATGGCTCAGAGCCTGGAGCCTGTTTCCGATTCTGTGTCTCCCTCTCTCTCTGCCCCTCCCCCGTTCATGCTCTGTCTCTCTCTGTCCCCAAAATAAATAAACGATGAAAAAAAAAAAAAAAGGTCTCTTTTAGATGCAAGGGAGCTGTAGAAACACAGGGAGTTGGAAGTTACAGATTTGGGTCTGAGCCCAGGATGGCCACTGGCGAGTGGGTGACTTTGGCAAAGGCCTCTCTAGGTCTCCACCAGCAGGCCACCTGGGTTTCTACAACCTTATCAGGCTGCCTGCTTAATTCCTCCCCATCAACGGTTAAAGTTTGTCCTGGATGTTCAACAATCGTTGAAAATCAGGCTCGCCCTTGTCAGAAAAGAAGGAGTAACAGTAGGTGACAGTGGATGATGCCTTTTGATTAGTCAACATTTACTGAGCATGTGGGCAAAAACCAAGCAGTATTGTATAGTGTCACAGACATCTGACTTCATCTGCACAACTGCCCTTTGGAGTTTAACCCCATGCTACAGAAATGAGAAAATGGTGGTCCAGTGATTGGACTGGGGCTCCCTGGTGTGATTTTCCTCTCTATGACTTTAAGGGCTGAATTTTAATTCTTCCCGCTCTCCTCTTAGGAAACCTCTTCTTAAGCTTTATAAGATATCTGTTGTTCCAAATGCCTTCTTCTCAGAGATGTGCATAGACTCTCTGAGTCGGAAGTTTATTTATTTTTGTGTTCACATCACACATTACACCGTGACCTTATTTATGGTGCTTGGTTAGTTACCATTCTTCATGTTAATTTGAGTGGCCAATATTCTTGTGCTCTTTATTTCATATCCCTGTTAGCTTCGTTTCCTCTGAGATATATTTATTATTTTCTAAAATGAATCTAATTTCTAATATCTTCAGGTGGATTTGCATCTGCCCACCTTACCGGTGTTAACACATTTGAAATTTCCGTCATCTCTAATTTTTCTAACTTCTGCCTATTTCCTGGTTGGAACACTTATTAAGATGCTCAGCAGAAGAACACATATCTTTTATTAAAAATTTTTTTAATTTTTAATGTTTATTTTTGAGAGAGAAAGAAAGAAAGAGAGAGAGAGAGAGAGAGAGAGACACCGGGTGTGGGGGGGTAGCAGAGAGAGGGAGACACAGAATCCGAAGCAGGCTCCAGGCTCTGAGCTGTCAGCACAGAGCCTGATGTGAGCCTCAAACCCACAAACCGGGAGATCATGACCTGAGCCATAGTCGGACGCTTAACCGACTGAGCCCCCCAGGCGCCCCAGGACACATAACTTTTAAACACAGCCTCATGGCTGAATCTCTTGACATTGGAAAATAGGGAAAAGCTAATGCTAGGATACGGGCTGAACTGTGCAAAGAACAGTTTTAGAATGAACCAAAAAGCTCCAGTGGCTGTCATTAGGTAGTGTTCGAACAGTTTCCAAGGTGGAGCTCTAAGGTACAGGGTGGTTCCATTTTGCAAGCATCCTTTGAGTATGTCGTAGAGCCTGGCTGCTGTCTCTGTGTGCTGGACAGGTGAAGGGCTCGTGACCCATTGTTTCTTAGCAGTCAATTCTTCTCCTTGTCATTTAGGGCATGAGTGGTCCAGGGAAGCAGGTGACCAGGCCACACAGACATAAACCAAGAAGACTGACGCCCAGGCATGGTGTTTGAGAATGTTTCAATAGGGAGACATGGGTCCACAGCAATTGCTTTTTTCGAAGTAGCGTTTCCTAGTCTGTTTAGAATTAAAGAAAGAGCGAGGAATTATCTAGGCCGGTGGTTCTCAAACTATGGTCACTGGTGCAACAGCAGCATCACCTGGGATCCTGTTAGAGATGCAAATTATTGAGCCCCACCCCAGAATTATAGGCGAGAAATTTTGGGAGTGGGGCGTGGCAACCTGGGTTCAACAAATCACAATCACCTGAAGGCAGGTGATTTTGGGTGCCGCTAAAGCTCAAGAACCACTGCTCTAGGCAAAACCTTTCACAAGTCCCCCTTCTGTAAACTTCCTGCTGAGGTACCCCATTTGTATCCTTTGATCTTTCATTTTGGAGGCCCTTGCCCTCCTCTCCCGGGCGTTCACACACCAGGTGCAGGCTGCATACCAGGGTGGTGGGCTGGACCAGCTGGTGAGGGTTGAAGTCCAGCCGCCCCTGCGTGCCTGGGTAAGCACACTGGTCTTTGCAGTGTCACTACCCGGAGCCACTTGTCCATGATGAAAATGAGCAGAAGATCCCGCAGCCATGACAATCAGAAACAATAGGGCTGGGGCTCACCTGCCAAAATGCATTCACCTGTTCATCTATTTAACAGGAACTCAGTGAATATCCAGTAACATCCTTTGCCTGCAGGGAAGATAAAAGGTGGGCGGCCCAAGGAGCTTAGAACCTAAGGGGCAGAAGTAGCATACGAAAAGAGGGGCGCCTGGGTGGCTCAGCTGGTTAAGTGTCTGCCTTTGGCTCAGGTCATGATCTCCCAGGCTGTGGGTTCAAGCTGTGGGTTCAAGCCCTTCGTCGGGTTCTGTGCTGACAGCTCAAAGCCTGGAGCCCGCTTCGGATTCTGTGCCTCCCTCTCTTTGCCCCTCCCCTGCTTGCACGTTCTCTCTCTGAAAAAAACATTAAAAAGAAAAAAAAGCGTATGAAAGAGACAGAAAGATAAATGTGACAAAAGTCCCAAGATAAAGGGAAAGGCCACAAGGAGACAGGGAGAGATCAAATCCCAGTGGTCTACAGGAATTAGATGTGGGTTTTCAGAGCTAACAAAGATAGCACCATTAACAGCAGCACCGGCAATAAGCACCCTTTGTGGTTTTTTCAATTTATTTTGAGATAAAATTCACATATCATTCTTTTTTTAAAGTGTATTTATTTGAGAGAGACAGAGAGAGCATGAGCAGGGGAGGGGCAGACACAGAGAATCCCAAGCAGAATCGAGAATCCGCTCGACATCAGCACAGAGCCCAAGGTGAGGCTCAGCCCCACAAACCGTGAGATCACGAGCTGATCTGAGATCAAGAGTCCGATGCTCAACTGACTGAAGCACCCAGGTGCCCCCACCTATCATTCTTAACCATTTAATATGTACAATTCAGTAATTATTACAAAGTTGTGCAACCATCACCACAATCGAATTCCAGAACATTGTCATCACCACAGAAAGAAACCCTGTCTCCATGAGCAGTCCTTCTCCTCTCCCTCCCCCAGCCCTTGGGCAACCACTAATCTACTTTCTGTCTCTACGGGATTTGCCTATTCTGGACATTTCCGATAAATGGAATCATACAATACACACGTGGCTTTTAGTGTGTGGCTTCTTTCACTTAGCATCATGTGGCTGCTTAATGGGAGCAGGGCTTCCTTCTGGGGTGATGAGGCTATTTCCGAACTAGATAGAGGTGATG